GTTCCTCTGAGGAAGGATCCTCCTCACGCAGGCGAAAAGGACAATCTGGCACCCCTGTCCTCATTTGTGGGCCCTCCATGTATGGCCCCTCAACGGGTATCTAAGGACATCTCTGAGAGAGTCCTAAATACTATCGCTGAGGCAAGAGCTCAATTGGTCAGTGTTCACTGGCTGGTGCTCTTGACGCCGCGTCCAGCAGCTCTTGTAGAAAAGAAAGTACCAGTGGTACTTCACATGAATATGGTTCCAGGTTCCGAGCAAAGTGTATGTGGCAGCCATAGCAGTTTTCCACTTTCCTGTGGGCGGCCAATCTTTGGGGAAAAGCAAACTGATTGTACGCTTCCTCAAAGGGGCCAGGAGGCTTAACCCGCCTCGACCTCCCTCTATCCCCGCCTGGGACCTATCTGGGTCCTCAGAGTGCTTAAGGAACCCCCTTTCGAGCTGCTACAGTCGGCTGACCTAAAGCCACTTTTGCTTAAGACCGCACTCCTGCTAGCCCTAGCATCGGTCAAGCGAGTGGGCGATTTACAAGCGCTCTCTACAAACGCTTCCTGTCTTGAGTTTGGGCCCAATGACTCCAGAGTCGTCCGAGACATGGCTATGTACCTAAGGTGCTCTCTCGACTCGTTCAGAGCCCAGGTTATTTCACTATCAGCTCTTCCCCCGTCGGAAGACAATAGAGACTTGAATCTGCTCTGCCCTGTCAGGGCTCTAAGAATTTATTTAGAGCGTTCTGCCCCGTTCAGGCAGTCGGAACAGCTCTTTGTATGCTTCGGTGGCCACCCCAAAGGGTCTCCGGTCACGAAGCAGAGATTGTCAAGATGGATAGTAGATGCTATCTCTTTAGCCTATGCTTCTATGAGCCTTCAATGCCCCATAGACGTTAGGGCTCATTCCACAAGGGACATGGCTTCTTCATGGGCCTGGTCCAGTGGTGTACCAATTGAAGACATTTGTGCGGCGGCCGGCTGGTCCTCGCCGTCTACATTTGTAAGATTTTATAACTTGGAAGTGCCGGCTTTGCAAGCACGAATCCTCTCTATATAAGTGGTCTTGGCCCCTGTTTGGCCCAAGCCTCTCCATATTTATGAATATATAAGGCCTATGTAGATGGTCTTGGCCCCTGTTGGGCCCAAACCTCTACTATTCCTTTGAGGGCCCCGACTTTCTGGTCCCCGTTGGATTGTAACTTTTATTTCTGCTATATGTCTTGGACTTGTCAGCTCTAGGCAGTAGTCAGAGTGAAGTTATTAGGCTAATAGCACGGCGTTTTAAAATGGGTTCTCAGGGGTCACCAACCTTTTTGAAACTGAGAGCTACTTCATGGGTACTGAGTCATATGAAGGGCTACCAGTTTGATACGCACTTCTGAAATAACAAATTTGCCCAGTTTGCCTTTAGTTATGCATTATTAATAATGATTAATGATACTCATCTATGTGAAGACACTGATCACGTTAATGATTTCTCAACAATGACAATAAGGTGGGAAACAGATATCAATATTCAGCACTTTAATCTCAGTAATTGTTAAATTTTCAGATGATCACTTACATCACTACATTTCATTGGAAAAATGTCCCATTTTCACTAGCCACTGTCAAACCCTTTTAGCAAATCATGAACTATGTTGCAAAAAGTTATCAATTATGTATTGTTAGAAAAATCAACTTACTTTTAAATAAATCTTGTCACATTTTGAACTAATGACCAAATCTGCTGATTTTTTAACACACTTTTAAATTGAACACAATTCTTCAATATTCAAAATTCAACTTCGCCATGGCACTGCCATGTTGCCACTGACAACATCTGGTATCTGTTTCTTTCCTAGTGGGAAGACTGGCATTGCATGCTGTTCACCAGTGTATTGTAATCTGGTGTGTAACTTGACACTGCAACTGTGAGTGAGTCTTTTAGATGTGCATCAGTGAGGCGTGTTCTGTGTTTGTTCTTGATGAAGTTCATGTCAGAAAACGCTGATTCACAGAGATAGGTTGAACCAAACAGGCTAGCAACCTTCTTAGCTGCTGTGCATACTCCACTATACTTCTCTGTGTCGACAAGGCACCAAAAGTTTGGTGCAGTCTGGTAGGCTTTGAGGTGGAGGTCATTTTGCAATGTTATGATTTCAATCTCCACCTGTCCAGCATCCAAGTTGAACGTTGCACTTAGTTGCTCAGCAAAGAATGTTGTGTCCACATTCATGAAAGGATTGGAAATGAACGACACACATGGCTCAAGCTGATGAAGGTCACAAAACCTATTCTCAAACTCTTGCCCAAGTCTGTTTATGACTTCACAGTACTTTTCTGCAACTTTGTCAAATGTCTCAGATGCAGAAGCATTGTCTTTCAGCACCGACTGCACAGAGGGAAAGTGCAGCACCTTTTTTTTCTGTAAATCCACTGAGAAAATGTTCATCTTGGCTTTAAATGCATTTAAAGCACTTATCAGATCAACAACAGTCTTACCTTTGCCTTGCAGCATGCAGTTCAAGTCATTTAGTTTCCCAGTAATGTCCGTCAAAAATGCAAGGTCAAGTATCCACTCTGTGTCCTCTAGCAGTGAGACGTCTTCGCCTTTGGACTGCTTGAACTCTTTGATTTCACCCAAAAGTGACAAAAAACGAAGTAAAACTCGTCCTCTGCTGAGCCATCGGATTTCTGTGTGTAGCAGCAGGTCACCATATTCAGCTGACATCTCCTCCAATAGCACCTTGAAAATCCTGTGCTGTTTTGCTTTGGAGCGAATGTTGTTTATGATTTTTACAACGGGAGTCATCACGTGCCCAAAGCCGATCACTTTTGCACATAACGCCTGCTGGTGAATGATGCAGTGATAATGCAGAAATTTTGGGAAGTCTGGGTCACTTTTACAGTGAGCGATGAAACCTGTATGTCGGCCGATCATAGCAGGAGCCCCGTCTGTAGTCACCGCTACCAGCTTTTCCAATGGTACCTTTTTCTGCACGAAAAACTCCTTCACCGTGTTATAAATGTCAACTCCCCTCGTAGTTGTCTTTAAGGGCAGTAGTGCCAGGAGTTCTTCTCTTGTGGAGAAATCTTCAAACACCATCCGGATAAAAACTAACAGCTGTGCTATACTGCTGCTGTCCACGGACTCGTCGCACTGGATGCTGAACCAGCTGCACTTCGCCAGATCCCGCTCCAGCTGATCGACCAAGTTACCAGACATAGCTGTCACTCGTCTAGCCATCGTAGATGCACCCAGCTGGACGTCGGAGAGAGTGGAGATTAGATCGATTCCATTTTTCTCGTCTTTAAGTACAGTGTTAGCAATTGTCATCATTGCTTCTTTGACAACTTCTCCATCTGAAAATGCCTTCTTCTTCTTGATCAGAAAATGTGTAGCTCTAAACGAGGCTTCGGTTGCTTTTTGTGACTTTTTCGCCATCCTCGTAAAAAAAGACTGTTGCTTACCCAAACCTGCCTTTAGCTCACGGGCTTTTTCTGCCCGTAGTGCACTTCCCGGTGGGTAGTTAGTATGGTAGCTTTTGTGACACGTAGTGAAGTGTCTCTCCACATTGTGCCGCTTTGCCGTCGCCACAGTCGCCCCGCAAATGAGACACACGCAGGTTTCTTTCACAGTCGTAAAAAAGAATTCCTCCTCCCAATCTTTGTGAAAGTGATACGTTTTCTTCCTTTTTTCTGCCATGTTTTTGGGGCAAGAAACTGCATTCAGCTACTATCTTCGCTGCGCCCGCTAGCTTAACTAACGTTACTCTCCACGAGCAAGTTTCGTCCCGCGCACAATACTGACCTTTGAACTAGAGTAGGTTCGAGTTCTAAACTCATGAACATATTTTTAAGATATTGTCATTTTTAAATATATATAAATGCAATGCAAGTGTGACTAAAAAAGAATAGCAACAGAATACAATTAAATTTCAGACGCAGCTCACTAGTGAGTTGTGCTATTTTTAGACCAGGCCTGCGGGCGACTCATGTGGTCGCTGGGGGCGACCTGGTGCCCGCGGGCACCGTGTTGGTGACCCCTGCCATAGCGTATAGCTATGCAATACGAGAGACCGTTCTCGAAAGGAACGTACTCGGTTATTAACGTAACCTCAGTTCCCTTAGAGATAAGGGAACGAGTATTGCGTACCTAGCCGTGCTATTATGCTACTTTCAGGTGCTGTCGCTTCAGTCGATTTAACCTGATTCCTATGGTGAAATGGGCTGCTTTATAGTCATCGGCCACGCCCATTTTGACGCGCTTTGGCGAGAGGCGCCCTGATAGGTTAACGTGTCCTCTCTGCTTTGCCATAGGTTCGTGCAGTTGCTGCAGCACAGCCAATCAGCACTCTTATACAGCCTGCACTGTGCTCGCAGCTGCACTGCGTTTTAAAATAAAGGCTTCAATATTCTCAAGAAAAGGAGTTTTCCCATAGCGTATACCTATGCAATACAATAGACCGTTCTCTAAGAGAACCGAGGTTACGTTAGTAACCGAGTACGTTTTTTTTAGCCTATATTAGCCTGTTATTCAGTTCATTATATTTACCAGTAGTAGACTGAATAGTTCCAGAGTAAATAATATTGTATTACTCGAACTTGAGCAAATAGAATGCCAGTCACAGAGTCATAATTAACAAAGCTTATTGACGATTTAAAACGTTATCATCCAATGTGATGGCAAATAAGCTTTCCAACTAATGTCCTACTAGTATAATAGTTGTAAATCTATCTCTCACACATGTGTTTTGCATTGCCCTGCAAAATCACATCTACTGTTCTGCAACAGATCAATAACCAGGTGGTCACCCTAGTCATCTTTTCATTTGGTTCCATTTATGTTTGCATGCACCATGTTAAGTTCAGCATGCCAGAGCAGAATTTTGGATAACATGAGAGGCATTGGAGGGTAAGTCAAAATAAGATATTTTCCATTGAGGTTAGCAAGTAAATTATTGCAGCAACATTTTTGGGTCATTTATTTGGATAATGTACTGTATGTTGTTTGTTTCTCTGAATCAGAGCACACACCAAAGCTTATCCCAGAAGAGGGAAGCACGTATTATCATCGAGTACAGCATTACAGAGAGCTGCTGGACTCCCTGCAGATGGATGCGTACACCCATGGCTGCATCCTCCACCCAGAGATCACTGTAGACTCCCACATTCCAGCTTATGCCACCACTCACATTCGCAGTAAGACTGGGACGCAGCGTAATAACTTCATATGAACACACAGTTTTTGGGTATACTGTGAATTAACTGTGATTCCTGCCTTATAGCACAGATTGGAAACACAGAATCTGAGCTTAAGAAACTAGCAGCAGAGAATCCTGATCTTAAAGATGCTTATATTGCAAAACAGAGGCGCCTGAAGGTATGTAAACATTCATGCAGTGTTCAGTTTCAATTATTCATATGATTACCCTCTCTGTTTTTATTCTGCTGAGTATGTGCAATTAATTTTGACTACAATCTTGCTTACGATGCCAAGAAAGTGATTGCTGAGTGTCATAAAATACTATTTATGTGAATCTCTCTAGAGTAAATTGTTTGACCATGATAACATGAAATACCTGAAGAAACTCCTGGATGAACTAGAGAGTGTTCTGGATCAAGTGGAGACGGAGCTGCAGAGGAGGATTGAGGAGACACCAGGTAGGAGAATCTTCTTTTAAACACAAAAATGTTTTGATGTAGGGACATAATAAATTAACTGGTTTTATTCAAAATTAAATTAACATTTATATTTACATTGAATCCCAACCTGTGGGCCTCAGTGATCCTCCAGGGGGCTTCGAAATAACTTAAAATTAATTTTAAATATATTAATATTTCATACATTTTTTTTATTAATTTTTTATTTATTAGCCGTTTCTCATCGCGCTGTATAAAATATATGATACGCAAACTACATCTCTCAGTTGGATAAAGAAAACCAGCGTTATTAATAAAGCTTTGATGGATGACGATTGTAATGAAGGTAAAGACGATTACATTGACATACAGGAGTCGTACATTAGGGGCGCGAGTCCATTATTACTGATGGGTTAGGGTTATGGTTACATAACATCACACAAAGATATACAACATTTCGGATCAATAAAACTAAGAAATAACATAAATAACTGCAGAAAGGCCACACTGCAGATAGGATTTGCATTTCACATGCAAATCAATTAAATCGGCTAAATTGCCTGTGCGAGCAGGCTCTAAGTACAGCGCAACATCGATGCACCGAAAAAATAAACAGTTATTTTACAGAATTAAATTAGAACAGAATAATACCTTTCTAATAAATAAAAATACAAAACGAAATAAGTCAGAATCAAGTCACAAGATACAGAACAAATGTGTGCAAAATGCCTAAAGTGCAGGGGAACATATTTTCAAAACACAAGCCACAAATAGTTAAATTAGATAACCCTGAGTGATCAATAAATAAAATTAAAATAACGAAAGTATAGCCAGAATTGTCAACTTTGTCTTTTTAACTGCAGAAACAACAATAAATGCTAAACTGGAGCGGCAGTCTTTTTAGCTAAACATGTTCACAGCATCCAAAAATCAAATTAGAACCGGCTGAAATGTTTTGAAATCACTTGTACCCTACCTGATCGAGAAAAAAAATACAGTCTTTCACTCTGCCTGTGTCCGTTTGAGTCTTTTCAAATTGTGTGTGCGGATAAAATACATTCTAAAACGCTTAAAGGGGTCATATAATGCCATTTTTGTACAAGCTAATATGATTCTTTAGGGTCTAAATTAAAAGTTTGTAATATACTTTTAATTAAAAATTCTAATTAGTATTGTAAGAAAACACTTATTTTACCTGGTCAAAAACAGCTCTGTTTTCAGCACGCTGTTTCAGTGCATATGACTTTAAATGATAATGAGCTTTGCTCATGAGGAGGGCCATCTCCTCTCTGTTCTGTGCATACACCATTTGTAACACAATGACACAATAACCATAACGCGTTGTTCAGTATAAACGTGGGATTATGAATTATATTGAGAACGTCATACATAGAAAACATGCTGTAATGTACCCTGAGTGTAAACCTTAGACGCATTCATTGTGAAGCGTGCAGCTAGCGATTTGCAAAGATTTTTTAATATATTAATATAAAGTTTAATAAAACGTTACACTCACTTCCGTTCTTCTGGAGATTCAGCAGGAACACGAATAGCTGGTACCGATCCTTTTTTCATGAGCAGCTTCTAAGCAAATCCAGCTTTATACTGATCCTCGTCTATAAAGCAGTCTGGTGTGTGAAATGATTCGCGCAAACATGAAAGCATTGACGTTGCTCGTGGGGAATATTCCCTTCAAAAACAAACTCAGCCACTGCGTCTTCAGCGGTTCGGATTTAGGAACATTAAAATGACTGCTGTGTTCGTTATTACACCCAAGAACAGAACACCACAATCGCTTAGACGCCATTCTGCTCATAGACAGTGCTCCAGCATATAAACAATGACCGCGCCTGTCCGCGCGGACTATGATTGACAGCTCCATCACGAGCGAGGGCGGGTCTGTGTTGAAACGCTCCTGTCAATCAACAATCGTGGGAGGGGCTTCCGACCGTGTGATCAAAACAAAAACACTGGATGGATTTTTATCATTTTATGATGGTTGTGTACAGGCACTGCCAACACACATTTCAGTACAATCAACTTGTAAAAGTGCATGTACCATTATATGACCCCTTTAACGTGAAAAACGTTTAACGGTTTAATGTCCTAAGACAGTTATATTTAAAGATCAAATGCTGTACACACCTTATTAATAAAGCATACTATATGCGTTTTAAAAACTTTTTTCACGTTAAGCGTTTTAGAATGTTCCGAGGAAAACCAACTTGTTAACGTTGGCCGGCAGAAGCATAGACATAATAAATACATAGACGCCCTATTGGCCGCTTTGGAACGTTGCTGCGATACGTCAACGGGTCCGCCATTTTGCGGAGGGCAAGACTGCGCTGTGATCAAATGTAAGTAAACGGGGGAGCTGTGTTTTTTCTGGATAAAAACAAACTGTTTTTACATTTATCAACCGATTTCAGTGGTTTGAATGTGGTGTACAAAAAGTTCCATCTCTAGTTATTTAAAATCTCGATAGTTAGACTTGTAAAATATTTTTTTTAATAAAGAATGGTCAATTAAGCTCAGGCTTGTCATGTATCTGGCTTTTTATTCTTGGATAAGAATGGTGAAGACCCCCATACTGAGATATAATTTAAGTTTTCTTATTGTGGAAAAAGCATTTTCTGTGATTGACCAGATTTTAGCAATAACAAAGATAACTGATGGATCCTTTATAATAATACGTTATGGTACAACTACAGTGCAATGCAAATAGTAAATATAACATAAAGTGAGAAGTAATAGTAAATAGTTTAGTCAATAAAATAAACAAATAGTATACAGCAAATAAAATAGTAATGATTAGTATAATTATATAATATCATAAGTACAATAATACAATCATAAAAATATTGATAATAGCAGAGTTTATTAATAATACTATAATAATAGCAATAGAATAAGAAATATCAATTACAGAATATACACAATAAAAAATTAAAAATAAGTTAAATAGTGACTTTAATATTTAACTCTTTTTGTTAAATTTCAGTTTTATTGATCAGTATAACAGAAGTAGCTTCAGTCAAACATACAGCAGGAACGTTAAAATAGCCTAAATATAAAGTTATGAAACTTCACTTTGCCGATTTACCAGGGAACCATTTATAGATTAATGAGACCAAAGATCGCCCGTTAGATATACACAAGACGAATTATATCTCATGTTTAACCACTAGACTACAGACATCCGAGTCAGCGGCAAAACTTCAGAAGCACTGGCCGAGGTACGGCTGTTCCAGGCGGGGTAGACGAGCGCTGAGCGCATCTTACAACTCCGAAAACGTCAGATCAAATTTTTAAATAGGCGCTATCTTTATAAACAAACCACATATTTGAGCTTTAAACAACTACATTGTCGACTGAAAAACTATTTAAACTACATTTCGTGACACAATAACAGTAGTATTTTTAAATGTATCCTCTGAACGTTACTATTACTAATTAAATTATGACCAAATACAACCAAAAACAAACGTTCAGTCTTGCTTGTGAAAGGTAATTCCTCGAAAGCTGTTTTCAATTGTGTGGTGATGTGTACAGCCCCAAAGAGCACACAAAACAGGCATTTTTCTCAATTCCCGGTATGAGAGGTATGGGAAAGTTGCCATCCCCAACATGGCGGCGCCGTTGACGTACGCTCCAGCGGCCAATAGGGCGTCTATGTATTTAATATGTCTATGGGCAGAAGTGCGATCATGGTTTCCTGATGCTAAATCCAGCCTTGGAGAATATCCTTTCTGATGGTGTGCAATGCATCCACACTTTATATTTTCTTATCCCAGAAATATTTAAAGATTTAAATCCCTGCCGCCAAGATGCTGCTCTGTCGGTCACGGATCGAAAGTGAAACTTAAATCTGTCACAGGGGTGGTTGGATTAATTCACGCACACTAAAGATATTTATTAAAAGCTTCTTTCTTTGCACATTTTTATTTACAGCATTATCATAATTGGCTGTATATTAACGTATTGACAGAAAACCGGTAGTTCTATGTGAAATGAGACATTGAGCACACTCATATAGCCAAAGTGGCATGATCCTCGTTTCATAACACCTCTGCAAAGATTCGACCGTGAGATTGGTAGTCGAATCTGGCTCCTCCTATCGAAGCATCGAATCTTCGACTATTCGGGGTCACCCCTAGTATTTTGAATTCAGAATGGATTCAGAATGGAACAATTCAGAACAATTCAGAATGGATCCGAATTCAATTCAGAACAATTCAGAATGGATCCGAATAGCTATATTCAGTTCTTTCTTTGGCATCTCCCTGTGGTCTTGTTTGGTATTGCAGGTTGACTTGTGCTTATTTGTTCAAGTTACTGTATAACTGAGCAGAGTAAGTACTTTTAAGTTGTAAAGAATGTCTGCAAAGTATGTTTATAAAAAAGAACATTGAAGATTTAAATCTATCTTGAATTTCTTTTGTTTAAAAATAATAACGTGGAGATAAAAGGAATAACACTAGAATACAAATGTTTTTGTGAATAAAAAAAAAAGGGGGGGGGGGGGGTATTGATTTGTAGAGGAGTAGAGGGGGGCCTTGGAGTAAAAAAGGTTGGGAACCACTGATTTAGCAGACGCATTTATCCAAAGCAACTTACAAATAAGGAGAGCAATAGAAGCAATCGGAAGTAACAATAGGGCAGCAATATGCTAGTGCTGGGACCAGTCCCCAGTTAGTCTTGCACAGTATACGTAGCAAGGTTTTTTTTATTTTTATAAATGGATATAGAATAGTAAGTGTTAGTATTAATGGGTCAAGTGGCTAAAGACTCAGCAGCTCGGGTTGAGTTAGGCAGGTCATCCACCAGCAGGGAACAGTCCAGTTAAAGGTCTGTGAAAGAGATTTTGTGCCTCTTTGAGATGGCACCACAAGGCGCCGTTCACTTGCAGAGCGCAAGCTTCTGGATGGCACGTAGGTCTGGAGTAATAAGTTTAGGAATAGGGGTGCAGAGCCAGTGGTTGTTCTGTAGGCAAGCATCAGTGCCTTGAATTTGATGCAAGCGAATTTGATTTTGGCAACCAGTGTACGTTTTTGAGGAGAGGTGTGACGTGTGCTCTCTTCGACTCGCTAAAGACTACTCTTGCAGCAGCATTCTAGATCAGTTGCAGAGGTTTGACAGTACACGCTGGAAGGCCTGCCAAGAGAGCATTACAATAGTCCAGTCTGGATAGAACAAGAGCTTGGACAAGGAGATGTGTAGCCTGCTCTGATAGGAAGGGCCTGATCTTCCTAATGTTGTATAAGGCAAATCTGCAGGACCGGGCAGTTCTAGCAATGTGGTCTGTGAAATTCAAATAGTCATCAATCACAACTCCAAGGTTCCTGGCTGTCCTAGATGGGGTTATGGTTGACGAACCCAGCTGAATGGAGACCACAAGCCGGGACCACAAGCAAGATTTAGTTGAAGGTGGTGGTCCTTCATCCTGCAAGAAATGTCTGTCAGGCAGGCTGAGATGCGAGCAGCTACTGTCGGATCATCTGATTGGAATGATAGGTAGAGTTGTGTGTCATCAGCATATCAGTGATAGGAAAAGCCATGTTTCTGAATGACCGATACTAGTGAGGACATGTAGATGGAGAAGAGAAGTGGTCCAAGCACTGAGCCCTGAGGCACCCCCGTGGCTAGATGTTGTGACTTAGACACTTCATCCCTCCACAACACCCTGAAGGACCTACCTGAGAGGTAAGACTTGAACCATTGGAGTGCGGTTCCTGAGATGCCCTTTGTCTTGAGAGTTGAAAGGAGGATCTGTGTCAAAAGCAGCAGACAGATCCAGCAAGATGAGTACTGAGGATCTGGAAGCTACTTATGCCAGTCTCAGAGTGGGGTTACCCGAGTCTGCTTAAATGCTGTGGGAAAGGTACCAGTGTGAAGAGAGTGTTGATGATATGAGTGAGTGCAGGTACAACTGAAAAAGAAATGGCTTGAAGGAGGTGAGTGGGGATAGGATCAAGCGGACAGGCAGTAGGGTGATTAGAAAGGAGTTTGGAGACTTCTGCCTCTGATAGCGGAGAGAAGGAGGGGAGAGTGTGTGTGTGTTATTTGGTAAGATGTGTGTGTGTCAAATTGTGGTGTGGAAAATTGGCCGCTGATGGTGGTGGTTTTGATTATGAAGAATGTGGCAAAGTCGTCAGCTGTTAAGGTTGATGAAGGAGGGGGAGGAGGGTTAAGAAGAGAGGAGAATGTATTGAAACGCATGTGAGAATCAGAAGAATTGTTCATTTTGTTGTGGTAGTAAGTCATTTTAGCAGTAGTGACATTAGCAGAGAAGCGAGAGAGGAGGGATTGATACAAACCAAGGTCAGTGGGATCTTTTGATTTGCGCCACTTCCTCTCTGCAGCCCTGACTTTAAAACGATGTTCGCGGAGAACATCAGATAACCAGGGGGCAGAGGGTGTGACGCGGGCAGAGTCTGAGGTTTTTCTTGGAGGATGTTGAAGTCTTCAAGAACTACCAGAGGTGTACCATCCTCAGGGAAGGATGAGAGTAACACATCCAACTCCTCCAAGAAATTGGCAAGCAGTTCTGTCTTCGCAAGTAATTAATTAATTAAATTATTAAATTATTATCTTGATCAAATGTCGATCTTCACTAAGGTTAGTTTATTTTCTAAACAAACACTGGCTGGGAGAAAAAATAATAATATTTTTTTAGTTTTCAGCACATCGTTGTCATGTAAACATACCCTACATTATTGGAGAAGTATCACAATACGATGCGTTTAGAAAATAGGTGACTAGTGAATTTCTATTTTATGCCGACTTTAATTTCTTTCAGCTTTTTAAACTTCTCATCTCTCTCTAGAAGAGGGCAGTCAGCAGGCATGGCTCTGTGGCGAGTTCTTCAGCATTGCGGACGTTTCCCTTGCTGTCACCCTTCATCGCCTCAAGTTCCTGGGCCTGTCCCGTCGGTACTGGGGAAATGGGAGCCGGGTCAACCTGGAGACGTATTATGAGCGTGTCCTGAACCGGCCGACATTCCGCAGAGTGCTTGGCCAAGTCAATAACATCCTCATATCCGCTGTGCTGCCCACCGCATTCAGGGTGGCAAAGAAAAAGGCTCCAGCCTTTGTTGGTGCCACTTTATTGATTGGGTTGATTGGGGGTGCCACTTACCTGGCTTTCAATTATTTTAAAAAGAGACTTATTGTGTCTTGAGACATCTATTGGGACTCATTCAACATTATTCTGTCTTGACCTGTGTATAATTATTGTCACAATTGGCTCATATATACTGTAACAGTTTGATGATTGTTGCACAAGAAGCACTTTTCTGCCATAATATGAAGCAAATCAGTTTGGAAAACAGACACAAAGCTTTTTTTTTTTTCAGTGATATGTTCATTAAACTGACTTACATGGCTTCAATTCTTGCTGTAAGGCCTTCATGGCCAGTATGTGCTTTTTGCTAACATTTCTTTGTAAATGTCTGCTCGCAATTACAGATAAAAAAAAATTCCCAGATTTCCAAGCATCAGGCTTGTAAAAATCCATATATTAAAAAAAATGTGTATTATTAGGATGAGAGTTTGTGACTGTTCTGCACAAATAAGTTTAATTCATTCATACTTTTGTTTTTACTTGACAAGTCAAAGGATTTACAATACTATATGCAAACCTAATTTCTCTGCACAGGAAAGACAAATATAATAAAGCCTATTTATCAGTTATGCAAGTGTCTGGTTTACAGTAATTATAGAATGTTTTGTTTGAAATCAGTAGGCCTACTGCATTTGCCACACCTGCAAAAACAGGCAGTAATGACACAAAAATGTTAGATACCAGTGAAAATTCACAATACATATACATACAGGTTTTTTTGTTTTCTTTACACTGTTCAAACCTACTAGCACTACTTTGTGTCTGGTGCCATAGATCCATGTTGTGTAGGACCACAAACACCATGAGGTGGCAGTATTGCCATTTTATTGTTAAGCAGTAAAGAGGAAGTTATAGCGACCTCCGACTGAGTTGCCTGAGATAAAGTAAAAGAAATATTGCATTCAGCAACTGATCATCATGCAACTCGCCCATTCCTATTTCTCAACTGATTGGACTTGACATCTTGCTCATTAGTTGCCAGTTGCTGTGTTTCAGTAATTTGCTGAAGTTTTTATCTTCTAAAATGTAAGACATGATTTCCCGTTGCGTTACTTCAGGTATCCAAATCACTGTCGGGGTGTGGTTCTATCTTATAAATATAGCAAATGTCATCATATCAATGTGTTCTGGCCAAATGTAAGCAACATCTGGATGATTCACACAGAGTTCACATTTACAATATGGCCCATTTAGGTTGCCATAAAATAAATGAATCTGGAAAAGCAGAGTCTCTTCTTCTATGAATACACAAAGTGTCTTGGCGAGTATTTTATAAGCTCCAGGCTTTGTGCGTGGCCTTTTGCTGACGTGGTGCACTTGTTTGAACTATTTCCCATTCTAAGTGTATATTTATTCTATCTCAACAAAAAGAAAACATTGAAATTCAACACCACTTCCTTAGTGTCAAAACACACTTGACTTGTTTGACCATAATCTGTATGATCTATTGTGTTGCTCACACAACAGTTGCTTTTAAGTAACCATAAAGTTGAAGAACTGTTGGATTTATAGGGGTAAACCAGGTTATATTTAAATCCCTTGAAAACGGCAAAGATTCACTTTCATGGAACTGACCAAGTGTGTGATTTATATTCACTTCAGACTGATTCACTTGTAATCAAGGGCCTAATGGCTTTATAAATAAATCTAAAATATGGTTAATATTTGGCCCCCTCAATTCCCTAGACAGTCCGTGACCAATTGAAGCGTCTTAAACTTGGCCGGGAATGTCTGAAACATCTGTCCTGCTTATCTTTAAGGAGGAGCCAAGGCTTGCCCTGCCCTTGAAGAGAGGAAAACTCTGATCAGACAGACTGTAATAAGACGAAAGAGAACAGAGGAGGAGAAAGGGAGGATTTTGGCCTTGGGTATAAGGTAAATATCGTCCCACACAGCTCAATGTGGAGTGGCAGAGATCCCGGTCTCCAAAAGGGTGGGGTGGATGGAAACTTCCAAGGTGCTTTTTCTCGCCAGTCCATCTTTGCGGCCCGAGTATCGTGCAGGAGAAAGACAGATGCTAGGAGTGGGCAGAGAATCCAGTTTCCATGGACACGCATGATATACACTCCTGAGTGCTTCGCAAGACCCCTAGAAATATTGCTTCATGTGGCTCTGTCTGTTGTCTGTCATTGGCACATGAATTTATGCTTGATGTTCTTACCATAAACTCACCGTTCAACGGCCTTCTCCACTGCTATTCTCAGAATATGATGTCAACTGTTTAAGTTACAGCTTTCATACCTAAACTGTGAAATTTGTCTTTTGGCCAAACCACTGCACTGACATTCTGCCCAATCGGTTTTTGCAAATGTACCGAGACCAAAGGGTGATTAGTATCACACTGAGGTCATTTGACTGACCTTGCCACCACTTGGCTTGCATACAGACATCCCTTTTTCATAATTTTGGCTGCCAGCGGCGTGGGTGCAGCTGCATTAATGTGCACTAAGCACTATAGGAAAGTGCATGATTTTCAGTTCAGCACATATCCTGCCCTGCAGCCAATTTCATTGGGTAATGTTAGGGTGTGGGGTAGGGTTAGGGTTTAGTATTTGTTGTTGCATTGTGTAGGCATTCAGCACTGTGATTGACTTGACCAATGAAATCTTTAGAATCGGTTGCAGGGCGGAACTGGTTTGGGAAAAGAAAAATCCCAAACAAACCCCTCTGATAATGCAGTGGGTTATGGGGAGCCACAGAATAATCATTTGATAAATCAGGAAATCGTAAATCAGTTTTAGCAATCAATTATAAATGTGAATAAGTAGATTAAAAAAGCAATTAGTAAAACAACAGATAAATAAATGAAACATGCAATATTCGATTTAAAATATAAATACTTTTAATATGTGATTATATCGTTATGTTTTTATTATAATGTACTGTATTTTAAAAAATAATATACAATAATATGTTTTATTGTATTGTATTTTTAATGTGTGATTAATTATATTCTTAATTACATTGTTTTTTAAAATTTTATATGTGATTATATAATTATTGTAACTTTATTACATTTTTAATACGTGATTATTTAACTATATTTTTAATGAAATAATGACAGTAACAGCTGAGCAATGATTGATGGCAGCAGATTAAGCACCACACCTTCAATTTCAGTGGGAAATCAATAAAATGTCAATAGATAATAGAAATAAATACAGATAAAAATCACATAAAAAATCATTATATTTTAAATTGCTTAATTGAATATTGCAAATTGTTAAATCTTTTTTGTCTTCCATATGTTTATAATTGACTGGTCAGCTGATTTATCGGTAACACTTTACAATAAGGTTTATTAGTTAACATTAGTTAGTTAGCGTGAACTAAGAATAAACCATACTGCAACATTTATTAATCGTAATGTTAATTTTAACATTTACTAATATATGATTAAAATCTAAAGTTGTATGTGTTAACATTAGTTAATGCACTGTGAACTAACATGAACAAACAATGAACAGCTGGATTTGTATTAACTAACATTAACAAAGAATGATATACAGTATACGGTAACAAATATATTGTTCATTGTTAGTTCATGTTAGTTAATACATTAACTAATGTTAAAAAATGAGACGTTATTGTAAAGTGTTACCGATTTATCAATTTCTCAGTTGATTTACTGATTTATCAAATGATTTTGGTCCCCAATAGCGAGTGACGTGAAGTATTTTGAAGTAAAAAGAAAATGTTTTTCAGTCACATTTGGTGCCATTAGACATTCTCTTCAGGCTCAAAGAGAAAGACAATTTCCCCCATCAAAAGACGGTTTTTGATTCTCAGAAAACAGCCAGCCCATCTTCCCAAAATGTCTTTCAGGGTCTGTTTTATGGTATTTACCGATTGGGCTGCTTGGTTCCTGTTGTTGACATGAGTGTTAGAATGGCCCCCCTGCAAGTTTGAACATCGTAACTTCACGATGAAACCTGCTGCGTTCATCCATCTGTACATGTGCTCCTCAAATGTTTAAACAAGCACTGCATAAATACAAGCACACCGGAGAGCCAAGTCACCGCTGCTGGGTCTGTGCACTGTAAAGCCTACTTACTGAGCCAAGCTAAGCATACCAGCTCATTTTAAACCCTTAATTAATTTTCTGAATGTGCAGAAATGAACTTGTTGCCTCCCATGAAAAAAAGGCACTGCTTCAATTTGGATTGTATGATCCCTCCTCATTGTTTTAAAATACCAGCTCTTTTTTTCTTTTTACTGTGAAAATTATATCTTATATAAAGCCAATATTTGGGACCACACATTATGATTGGTATATTCAGGCTTTTGTCCTTTCTTGTTGACATGAGTAAAAATTCTTAACATAACTAGAGCTGGGAATTGGATAGCTTTGGTCAAAACTGTCACAAGCAATGAAAAATACTACATATTTGAAATGTCTATAAATTAAGAAAATGAAAACATTACCATATGAAACACATTTTCCCATTTAAACAAGAGAGTACTACATATAGGCCAACTTGAAATCGTACATATCAAAAGTAAATTTTAATCAATTGTTTTTGTGCCAATCATGAGCAATAAATGCCATGTGACTAAACACATAAGGCGGAAAGAAAATAACCCAGCCCGATCTCACGGCAAATCGTACGAATTTTACGAGGTGGCTAATTCGTACTAATTCATACGACCTCACTCGTACAAATTCGTACGATTTTTGCTAATTCGTACATATTTTACGAGTTACCAAATTGGTATGAATTCGTACGAATGACCTACCCCTGACCCCGCCCCTAAACCTACCCATCACGTGGGTTTAGACAAATTGTACGAATTCGTACGAGTGAGGTCGTATGAATTAGTACGAATTAGCCACCTTTTAATCACTTGTACGAATTCGTACGAATTGGGCGTGAGATAGCGTTGAATAACCCATAGGGGTTTGTGGAGTTTGTATTATTGTATTGTAAGTTATGTGTAAAAAATAATACCATGATACTGTATTTTTTTTAAGTATAATGATAATTATTTAAAATGATAATGTTGATTCATTTTTTAATGTACACTGTAAAAAAGTTATGAGAACATATTTTACTCATCAAAACAAGTGAAGCAATTTTCAACTTTTTTTTATAAGTTATACAAGATTCAACTCATTTAAGTCAGTTTAGTGTCATTTAAATTGAAATGACTTAAACATCCAAGTTAAATTAACTACTTCAGCCTACGTCCAGCGTGACCTTTCCAACGTGATTACATAATGCCTGGCGCGTCGCAGACCAGCACAAGACGAACAATAGTGGTTAAAAAGTACATACATTTTTATTAATTTTTTAGAAAATGACCGATCGTTTCGCTAGATAAGACCCTATTCCTCAGCTGGGATCGAGCAGAGCCCTTTGAAGCACTTCAAAGCCCTTTGAAACTGCATTGATTTGGTTACCGTTGAAGTCCATTGTGTGGAGAAAAATCCTGAAATGTTTTCCTCAAAAAAATTAATTTCTTTTCCACTGAAGAAAGAAAGACATGAACATCTTGGATGGCATTGGGGTGAGTAAATTATCAGGAAATTTTCACTTTGAGGTGAACTAATCCTTTAAAAAAATCAGAT